TAAAAATGCTTTTCCATTTCTAACATTTCTCATTTCACTGTATAGAATATAATACAATAATAATTTTATATACTGGTGATTGATCTAGAAAATCCAGAAAGAGAGAAAGAGAGAATCATACAGGCCTGAGGACCTGAATTGATTTTTCAGCCCTCTGTAAAAATTCAGCTTGCTGATGTGCAATTGTGATCAGAGCACTGGTTAAGTAGAGACAGTTGGATCCTTGGGAACATGTTTGCTGTTCAGCCAGCTGGCCTATGAGTTCCTTAACCAGTGAGCCACAAATGTGTGAAAGACAGTCTCAGAAAACTAGATAGAATGCTTCTGAATAATGACACCGGCCATTGTCCTCTGTTCTATACACACACACACACACACACACACACACACACACACACACACACACACCTACACACACGCATATGCATGCATACACATACACAAAGAAATGAAATGGTACCAATTCTTTTCAAGGCTCACCAGTTCCACCAATTCTTACAAATTTTCAAAGGAAACATCAATTTGTAAAGATGAAGTTTGGTGAATAAAATCAGTTTAATTGCATGGAATGAATGTTTTCAATGAAGCTTGGTAAAATGTTATTCCATCAAATTACTGTCAGTCAGAACTTTTGAGACTTTTCTGCTTATGCCACCAAATGGAAGATTGCTTTTCTATGGCTTGGCAAAAGCATTAGGTAGCAGAGTTGATGGAACAAGCTTAACTGCAGAAAGTAAGGAGGAAGGTGCTTTTTTTTTGTTCCTCACAAGAGAAAGCATCCCGTGTCAGCAAATGAACAAAACACTCACCAGCTTTGACACAGTTAAGAATTACCGTTGGAGTTCATTAAAAATTGACAGGGATGACAAATGCTGTCTATAACTAAAGTCATTAGAAAATGCAGTGGGGGAAAATGGCAAGTAGAAAAGTGAAACAGACATATGGTGATCTGGACACGATCATAGTCAATGCAAATCCCAAGAAGTTTTTCTTGAGTATGTAAGATACATTGATACAATATTCTATTTCCATAAAATAGACTTACCAATAAAATACATCTCAGTAGGTAGAATCTTAACAACATAAAACAGAGAGTAATGCAAACACCGTCCACCTCCGTACACTACAGGATGATGAGCATAATCTCTCATTTCTTTAATCTCAATATGTAATTGAATTCAAGGACCACTCATCTCCATTGTACAGTATCAAAGAAATCTAAGGACCCAGGAAAACCGAAGAGAAACCTGTTCCTTCTACCCACCCCTATATTTTTGCTCTCTTATTTTGCAGACTCTGTGTGAGAAGTGTCCTTCTTGGTGAAAATATGTTTGCGGTTTGACTATATTACCTGCTGGTATCAGAAACTTCAGCCAAGTTTAGAATTCATTGCATGGAACTTATTTTTCTTTCCTTAACTTCCTAAATTACCAATGCTTCAATCAACATTCTTATTAATTAAAAGGTCCTTTGATATAGTGCAGACACTACCATGTCCTCTCTTTTGTCCTTCCCTTCATCCTCTCTTCTTCCTTCCCTCCTTTATTTTTGATCCTGTCCTTTTTACAGCTTACTCTGGAGGGCTGAATACAAAACTGTCTCCTCTGCTAGGCAATAGACCTTATTTTCCCAATAGCAGCTTTTGACGGAACAATCATTTCATAATCGGCTACTCGGTGTTACATCAAGGCATCATGACAGGGTAAAGCATTCATAAGAAAGAGGAAAGAATCAATTGTTTACCAATCTGGTCACTGCCCACTCCTCGTCTATGAGAATTCTTGATAGGAATCTTATTTCTGTACCTATTATGTATCACTAGGGTAAAAAAGGTTTGCCTAATCACATAAAATAAAACCAAACTGGGAAATAAGGATATTGGGAAATAAACCAATAAATCAGCATTCAATTGAAGAAGCAGGACTGATCCTATTCCATAATTCAACATTAGCCTCAAAGATGATACATTATCATATATTCTTATGATACATAATATCAAATAAAAGGCACAGAAATATTCAGTCAGCCCTGGTAGCCAAGATAGTCTCAGAGGTGTTTCAGCTTCAGGCTTCTCCAGATTTGTATCCAGCAATGGAGTTAGCAAGTTTTTGATGTATTAAACACTTGTTCTCCATATTAAGGTGTCATGTACACACACATATGTACTCTACACAATGCATAACCAAATAAAAATTTTTAACTCATCTCAAATAATCTACTAAATCATGTTATAAATTTATTTTATCATGTTCTACAAGTTATGCAAAATATGCAAAAGGGCAAAACTTTAAAAAATGAAATCAAGATCTTATGTATTGTACATACTGAAAAAAATCACCTACGAGATATCTGTTACTTTGAAAGTAATATTACTTAATAACTATTCTTTCTTGAATTCCATTTGTTGAAACAAGGGGTGCTCATATGCATAGATATATTCAGACATACACACACACACACACACACACACACACACACACACACACACGTAGTAACTTACACAATTTCATCGTTCTGGAATTCAAGCTCTCCACATGTGTCCTCGAAGTCCTCTCCTCCACCTCGCGCCGTTCCTTCAATGGTTTTATAGGGAACGATAACATTTCCTCGAGCTCCAGATGTTCTCAAAACCTTCACCTCCATGATGCCAATGCTCTCGCTCACATGAGTCACTGGTTCCTCAAACGTAAAGATGCCTGCATGGTCATCATCAAAAATGGTTACTGTGGCCGTACAGGGTGACCCAAGACAAGCAAGTGTAGAAATATGATTGGCTTCCAGTATGCCATCTTCTGAAGCTTCAGAGGAGATCCTGACATTGCTTAGATGCACAAGGAAGTTTTCATCTTCTTCAAAGATATCATCATCAATAATGCCGACTCTGATTTCCTTCTGGATCTCCCCAGGTTTGAAGACCACAGTCCCTTCAGTGAATTCATAATCAGACCCTGCATTGGCTGTGCCGTCTTCTGTTCTGAAGTCAACAAACACAGTGTTGGTCAAGTCGCCCCCTCTGCGGATAATGGTGAGAGCCACAGTACCACAGTTCTCTAGACATTGGTATGTCCCCTGTTCAAAGAAGACCTTACTCACTGGGTCGTTTTCAGCCACTTCTATGTTGACTTCATGCATGCTGACAGCCTTCCTTGCTTGGTCAGCTGCATGCCTCTTCAAGATGTTGCCAGCTCCAGTCATCAGGCGAGTAGCTTGAATCCGGTAAAATGCCCGGCTTTTTTGCTGCTGACTTAGGACTTGATAGTTGGCTAATTCTATTAATTGCTCAATTTCTTTCTCTGGGTGCTTCTGCTTAAGTTCCTTCAGAATCCTGGCCATCTCACGTCTAGCTTCCTCGTCATCTTGGTCCCTCTCATCCACTTCCAAAACCAGTGCACCATCTAGGAAATTGTCAACATGAGAGTTGACCACTTTCCCATCCATTTCAATTTCTGTTTTGGAAGATGGCCTGTCCCCTTCATGTTCAATTATCATTCCCCTTTGCTTGCCAGCCCTATACCGCTTGTAGACATATTTGTAAAAGAGGAGCCGCCTGTCTGCTACCCAAGCGAACACAACACAGATGGGAAAGAAGAAGAAAGTAAGCAATCCTTCCCAGACCTCCACAACACCAGGAGAGATTACAGACAGAATTATATAAAGCCAGGTATAGGCAAAGATGCTCCAGGCCGCTGTCACAAAGAACACACGCAAATGCTTAATCTTCCTTGTCTCTCCATCAGGGACCACATAAACACAAAGTGCAATGATGATGAACATATTGAAGGCAGCACTTCCCACGATGGTGCTAGGCCCAAGATCTCCTGCAGTGAAGTTATGGCCACACACTTCAATGACTGATAGTAGAATCTCAGGAGCAGAAGATCCCAGTGCCATCAAGGTCAGGTTTGACACGGTCTCATTCCAGATCCTTACTGTGGTCTTTGTGGTCTCGCCATTGGGTTTCTTTATGGTTATTTCTTTCTCTTGAGATGTGATGACTTCTATAGAGGACATGAACCGGTCAGCAATGATAGAAACTCCAAGAAACATGTAGACCATGGCCACAAAATACACAGTTGCTCTAGCAATTTTATCCCCAAAAGATGGGTCTTGGGGTTCCCAAATGGGCAGAATCACCCCTTTCTTACAGTAATATGAGCCAGTACATTCAGTGGTTTCATTTCCTCCTGTTTCTGGCTCTGACTCAGCAGTTATATGGTCAACGTGGGAAAACAATAGAGCCACCATAGCTACCAGACGAAATCCCATTGAAACTGTTGGTGAAAGACTTAATCGCAGCATGTTTTACGAAGAGATTTCCAATTGTCCCAACCTAACAGTTAAGAAAGGGAAAGGGGAAGAAAAGAAATAACATAATTAGTACCAAATCACCATTAATAAATTGTTTGTAATGTTGTATATTTGGCTATCACAAAATCCCTGGAGAATCATTATTGTAAGGATCCACCAGTGATTCAACAATCTTATGTAAAATTTACAATTCACTCTCTCTGTGGATTTTCTACATGTAGTCCCATTCACTGAGTAAGACACACAATTGAATCCCTGGAAATGACAAGTCCTATTACAATGCTGCTCCATTGAGCACAGGCTGATGTGTATTAACAACCAACAATAAACAAAAAGCAAAACTTTTGAAGCATTAAGTGATTTCTTTCCTGTTGCTCAAGCGGATTTTCTTTTACATTTGAGTTAGTACATTATCTCTGGAAACTATTTCATTGACAAAATCACCTTAGTAAGATTCATATCTTGAAACTCAGGTTCTGAAAAAGAAATCCTCCAAATACAAGGTGTGTTGATTATCTTAAATACTGTTATACACCTTTACTGTGTTTTATAAAATCACATCATCCCACTGTTCCACGCTTCCTTGGAAACAGTAAGATCTTCAATCAAAACTCAAGAGCATTTGTTCTTGTGAGGGAAACATTTCACTGAAAATGCAGTATCCCCATGTTTTAGGTATAGTTTTTAAAGGCATGTTTTCACTAGGGCACCCTCCCCCCAATTTCAGCAAGCCTGGTCTCCTGATAGATTGGCAGCTGATCACATGGTTCATCAAACACGGCTCTTCACATCTGGATACACAGCCTGCTTTGGAAGCTGTAGGAATTGTGCAACAGGAACAAGAGATAACCAGGCTTGGGCTGAGCTGTGTGGAAGAGCCAGGAACACTGTGAAATCAGCCATAAAACATTTCTTCTCAGTGTCAATGTCATATTTTCCATGGTCATCCCAAAACACACATTAGTTCTATAGTGGGCTCAAGTGACCAAACAATGTGGCAGTAATGATTCCATCTAAATTATCTCATGCAGAGTAACAACTGTAGCCACAAAGTATACAAATGATGAAAAGAGCTCTTGGCAGTTCAGGATGTGACAACAAAGTCACTGAGAACCACAAAGAATGGTAAAAGTGAAGTTATTGGATGGGCCACCAAGGTCTTAAATTTACCTACTAGCTCAAGCAAACTTCGGTGGAAACCTCCTATCACCTTTGCCTCCAAGGCCTGGAATTCTGGGTGAATGCAAGAGAAGGTCTATAATACTCATCTGGAATTCCTCAGGGAAGGACCCTTTATGGCATCCATAAAGCACAGATTGGAATGAGGTCCAAGTCAGAACTCTGTATTACCTGTGGGAAGCTAAACCAAAGTCAGATGTTCCCATTGTTCTGATATGGCTGTAAGCCACTATACTTTTGCCTGTGTTTTTCGACCCATGTCTGTTATGGATGGCTGGTGCAGAAAACCAAAACAAGGCCCAAGAGAATTCCGTGCCCTTGTACACAGCAGCAGACCTCTTGGATCCTATTATTGCCAGGAGTCCCTTCTATCTCATAAATGATGAGAGATGACCTTTTTTTCATTTCTCCCACAATAAAAGAAGGCCAGGTTGTGACATTAGACATCCAATTTAAATAAAAGGTGGGTAAAGAGAAACATATATATTCAAAGCATGCAACAGTTCCTAGGCAAACTGTCTATCTATTTAGTAATTGCAGATCTTGTATGAGTTGGGAATGTTTGCCTACAATGAAGTACCATTCAACCAACTAGCTAGAGGAGTGCAAGATGTTTTCCAACTTATAGATCTACTCAAGCCACAAACATTTGTGTTTTTCATATGAATTTATCAATCACTTTGTCACCTGTGTCCTGAGGATGCACCAGTGGTTAAAACACAAATTCTGTCTCCATTAATCTATTTTCTAAAGCATAGATACCAGGTAAATAAATATGACTATTGGCTATTAAAATGTATCATAGTGGAGCAGTAAAGAATCAATTTAAGGACAAACTGTTTGTATATTGATATGTGTGCACAAAAGGCATGCTTGATTTTGTATTAGGTGCTCAAAGATGAGATAATATTTGAGCAAAGTTCAAAGGGGAAGAAGAAATCAAGCCTTGTAGATCTCTAAAGGAGAAGGATTCCAGCCAACTACAAATGGTAAAGGTACTACTACTACTACTACTACTACTACTACTAATAATAATAATAATAATAATAATAACAATAACAATATTAATAATAATAATATTTGGCTCAGTGTGTATAGAACCACAGAGACACCAGTGTGGTGAAAGTAGTAAATGAGAAAGACAGGACTCTGGAGTATGGAGGTATTGGCCTTGATAGGAATGGAAATTGGCCATCTGGAAGGAGCAGCTGATTGCAATGTAGTATTAATTTTCTTTTAATATAGATTCCTCAACTGGATCCGTTCTGTGTTGAGTTGATGTGAAACCTAGACTATCATAAGATATGATTTTTGAAGGAGCTCAAGGTTTGGCAAGCATACAATTTAAAGATCATACAGCTAACATTTAGAAAGGAGAGGCTTTGTAGTGTTGAGATATTCTATGCAAAACATCTTGAGCGCCTAAAATTATAAGAAAGATTAACTAGAAGAGCCAAGACTGTTACCTGTCTCTAAGACTGATATACTAACAACTCTCTCCAAATTCCTGTCAAATCTAACACCCCACTTTCCATGCTTCAGTCAGTACAAACTTCTACAAAGCAAAGATATTTTCAACCACCTTAAAATTCCTTATTGTTTTTCTCATGATTATTTCTCTGTAGTCAATGACTAAACACCTTGGGTCTGCTGAAGAGCTTTAAGATCTGGCTTATCTCTGAGCTATTATTAGACATCGTATTCTGTGCCCCAAACGAGCATTTTTTTCCTCTTACTGAGCCTCATAATTTTAAAAGCCCAGTGGCAAATCATAGTCAACTTCCTGAGACAAAGACATTCCATATATAAACAACGTTGTAGACATCATGCCAAGTTATTTATATGTGTCAATTTTATATAATATTTACAAGAACCACTTCTGTGTTATACTTTCCTAGTGTTAAGGTTTCCATGACAACCTAGGCAACTAGCACCTCTCTGGAACTTTTTGGAACCGTGATAACAACTGTGTTATAATGGGGTAAAGCTTACACAGGTTAACTCTACATGGAAAATATAACTCTATATTCAACATGGAATAACTGAGGCATAGGCAGAGTCACACATAGTGAACTCTTGAGTGTTGATTAAATCCTGGCCTGGTTGAGAGAGTAATATCATTATCTTCTCCTTGATAGTAGGTAAAGCGATATTTGACAACAGTTCTAGTTCTGCTGGAAATAGCCCTCCATAAAGCCCCTTGGAGTAAAGAGAGCTGAGTTAGCATCCATGTGCTGGAAGACTCCCAGCAGCCTGGATTTTTCTCTTATGGATTAGACACTGAAGCAGACAAGCATCAACGACTGCACAAGAGCTGGCATGTTCCTAGAGACAGCTGCCCCGCACACCCTAGCCTTTAGCAATTGCCTGGCAACCACTTCCTGTGTACACTGTCAGGGCAATCTCAGGTCTGCCAACAAAGTGCTCTGTCCTCCATCCCTGCTGTAGCCCATATCTGACACCGTTCTTAGCCAGAAGGCTAACGGATGTAGGGAGGCAGGTGGATCTGGACAAATCCATCACCATGATCCGTATCAGCAGAAAGAAAGGAGGGGCAGTGAGGGGCTTCTGAGGTGACCTAAAAACATCATAATGATTTTCAAGAGGGACAGCACAACAATTTGTGAAATCAGTGGCTAAGAAACACTGATGCAACTTATTGGCAATGATGCAGCTGGAAAGGACTCTCTGAACTTCAGTTTCTGTCTCCATAAAATTAAAACCAAATGCAAATACTCATTAGGATATGAATAGGTGTTATACACAAGGCCTCATTTTCTCTCTTTGTTCATGGCCTATTTGTTTGTCATTTAGCTAGTTCTATTTCATTTTCCTTACATACCCATTGAGGACATTTCCCTAAAACTTGAGCAGGGAGATAATCTGAGGCCACAGAAAAGCAAATATAAATCATGTTTCTTGTTAGACTTCACTGTGTTCTTGCTCAACCTACTGAATACTAGCACATTGTAGGTTGATGATGGATTCAGATCAACTACAAGGATCACTCAGGAACATCCATTGCACCACCCAAAATTTGTCTTAGTATTATGTCAAGAATATCTGGATAACTTTTTTATATACTGCCTGTTTTAAATTAAAACAAAAGACCAGTATCATATACAGTGTACAGAGCTGTAAAAAACCCAACCAGATGCAGGTTAACCAGTCAATAATGTAAAATGGGAAGAGTTACAGGAGTAAGGAAAAGAAACTCGAGCAAATGGATGCTCATCAAACCACTAATGTAAAGAGTCACCACCAAAAACATAAGTAGAGTGTTTCTTCCCTTTGGAGGCCGTAGCCAGTTTTGACTGTGAATGAGTACCTGACTCAGAGAAAAGGAATATGCTTGGATTCCCACCAGCCCAGCTCACTAGATGGCCTAATCACATTCTGTTGATTGGCAGTTGGTGTTATTCCAAGGAGCTCCTTACCTTGCTTTCCTAGGGACTTGGAATTCCCTTCCATGTCATTCTTGCTTACTGAAGTCTTCAAAGCTAAGCAATTAATCTATTTCTAAGGCAATGGTTAAGCAATTGTAAAAAACATCCAAACTTCTCTAAAAGAAAAGAGGGCAGCAAAGGATGAAAGCTCTTTGCATCTGACCATTCCGTCTGGGATGCTAATTACAGCACCTGGTTCCCAACCATAGTCCCTCAGACCATAGTCAGACTTCGGAAGAGGACTTATTTACCCCAGGAATTCTGAATTAAAACTATTGTAATACCCCTACCACCACCATGAACACACACACCTATCAAATAGAGCAAACGATGTTTAATCTCTGCTACTGGATAATGGATAAATTATAGAT